TGGGAATGAAATGACATGCTTACTTAATCAGATATTTTAGATGAGCACCATTTTTTTTTGTTGGTTGCCAATTTCAGCTTAATTTTGTATTATTTGTGCTTCCAGGTGATTCATTCAGTGAGGAGGCTGAGAAAGAGTTTGAACATTATCCCAGGCAGCTCAACAACAAGATCTCTTAACATTTTTGCGAATTAACCCAGGAACTGCAATAACCACATGGCTCTGGACCAAGAGAAACTTTAATCACTTCAACGTTATTTATTCTCATTTGAATCCATTGCTGCGGTTGTCCAATCAAATGTTGTCATGCTGAGTTTAGATTAGGTCATGAGAAACGATCATGTAGCCAAGGGCCACAGAGACAGAACAGAGATGTGATTGTGGCCTGGGCTTTTTGTCCATGCAAATGTAAGTGGTTGGTTTGCAGCAGTGATCCTCAAATCTGGCTCGCGAGATCCACTTTCCTGCAGAGGTTAGCTCTACCCTAATCAAACACACCTGAGTTTGCTAATAAATGTCTTCAGGATCATTAGAAAATCACAGGTAGATTTGTTTGATTATAGGGTTGGAGCTAAACACTGCAGGAAAGTGGATCTCACGAGCCAGATTTGAGGATCACTGGTTTAGAGGAACAGTGGCTATACACTTCCTCTTGTATGAACTCCTCAGCGCAGACATTCTGAAACACCAGTTCCGTTTAATGAATTTTTAACATGCAGCAGGGAATTATAAAAGATGCTTCATAAACGATTACAAACTGTGATTGCTGATGAAATCGAAAGCTTCTTGTACTTCACAGTATGTGCGTTGTGTATACCTAGGCAGAATTTGTGCGCGCTATGTAGGTGTACATTTGTACATTTCTAGAATGTCCTGGAATCATGTTTGTAAAATAAACAAATCTGCACTTTTAAAAACCTTCTTGGTGTTACTTGAATTGTCTTCTCTGCCTACATTCAGATCTAAACAAGAAAAAAACCCTGTATAAAATGCAAAACATCAAGTTCGCGGTTTCTGGGCATTTCTCAAAGCCAGATTGAAATGAAAGCACTACATCGATACATGACAGTGATTACGCATTGAATGCCAAAGAAGACCTAAGAGAGACTGAGAATGTTCTGGCTTTTATTTTAACCAAATCTTAGTTTACCTTTCTAATCATACATAAATGAGCAATTTCCGAAAGTAATTAAATCAGAAACACAACAGATTGAGAAGATTTTCCACAATAATGTGAATCCAGTTCACAAATGCACTTTTGAGTGTTTATAAGCAATAGTTACAGGTTACTTGGTGAGGGGAGGGGGGGTGTCCTTAAATCTAAAAGTTACAATTAAAATGCAAAAATGGTTCAAACCTGACCATTTCAGGCTCAGTTAACCAACCCCTTCAGCTTTCAAAAGTCTAATAATTAAATTTTGACTTAAGAACAGAGAAACACTAGTAAACCAGTCACGTTCTAATATTCATTTTATTAACATTAACATAATAAGGTGCAACTAAAGGTATTAAGTGACAGGAAATACAGTAAGAAAAAAAAATTAAGTGTAGAGACAAGATTAGAAACAAGGAAAAAATAACATTAAAACAAAACAGAATGGTTAACTTAAGCAAGCTCCTCTTCACCCTCCTCCTCAAACTCTCCTTCCTCTTCGGCAGTGGCGTCCTGGTACTGCTGGTACTCGGACACCAGGTCGTTCATGTTGCTCTCAGCCTCCGTGAACTCCATCTCGTCCATACCTTCGCCTGTGTACCAATGCAGGAAAGCCTTGCGCCTGAACATGGCCGTGAACTGCTCTGAGATTCTCTTGAACAGCTCCTGGATAGCAGTGCTGTTGCCAATGAAGGTGGCGGCCATTTTGAGCCCACGAGGTGGAATGTCGCAGACGGCGGTCTTGACGTTGTTGGGGATCCATTCGACGAAGTAGCTGCTGTTCTTGTTCTGAACATTGAGCATCTGCTCATCCACCTCCTTCATGGACATGCGGCCACGGAAGACGGCGGCAACTGTCAGGTAGCGGCCGTGACGGGGGTCGCAAGCGGCCATCATGTTCTTGGCATCAAACATCTGCTGGGTGAGTTCAGGAACGGTCAGGGCGCGGTACTGCTGGCTGCCCCTGCTGGTCAGAGGAGCGAAACCGGGCATGAAGAAATGAAGACGAGGGAAGGGCACCATGTTCACCGCCAGTTTACGAAGATCTGCATTCAACTGGCCAGGGAACCTCAAGCAGGTAGTGACACCGCTCATGGTGGCGGAGACGAGGTGGTTGAGGTCACCATACGTGGGCGTTGTGAGTTTGAGAGTGCGGAAGCAGATGTCGTAAAGGGCTTCGTTATCGATGCAGTAGGTTTCGTCTGTGTTTTCCACCAGCTGATGGACAGACAGTGTGGCGTTGTAGGGCTCGACCACCGTGTCTGAGACTTTAGGGGAGGGCACCACACTGAAGGTGTTCATGATACGGTCAGGATACTCCTCACGGATTTTGCTAATGAGGAGGGTGCCCATACCGGACCCTGTGCCTCCACCCAAGGAGTGAGTGAGCTGGAAGCCCTGCAGACAGTCGCAGCTCTCCGCCTCTTTCCGAACCACATCCAAAACAGAGTCAACCAGCTCAGCTCCTTCAGTGTAGTGGCCCTTAGCCCAGTTGTTTCCAGCACCACTCTGGCCTATCAGAGGACAACAAAAAAAGGTTGGGAGTTTAGTTGCATCTATGCAAAAGGTAACTAGATCCATTTCAGGTCACCAATCTGCCATTCAAATTTTGTTCTGAGCCAGTACGGGATCAATTTTTTTCTAGATCAGATGTCCCAAAATGCCCCAACTAAACAGTTGGCAGCCAAGCGTCGCATTCAGGTGCATATTAAAACTTACCGAAAACAAAATTATCTGGTCTGAAGATCTGACCAAATGGACCGGACCTCACAGAGTCCATTGTACCAGGCTCCAAATCAACCAGCACAGCACGTGGAACATACTTTCCACCTTAAGACAAAGAACAATTTTAGGACAAATCAAATGCTGTTATGTGCACATGCAAGTTGTCAAGTGAACGAACATTACAGAATGCATCAGATTTCTGCTCACCTGAGGCTTCATTATAATAAACATTAATTCTGTCCAGCTGAAGGTCGCTGTCGCCATGGTAACTGCCTGTCGGGTCAATTCCATGCTCGTCACTAATGACTTCCCAGAACTAAAACAAGATGGATTCAAAAGTAGGAACAAGAACGTTAACTTGAATGCCATTTAATTTCCTTGGACAAAAGTATTAAATTGGATTTGGCTCATAAAAGGTCAACAGAAGTGATTAAAAAGCAGGCTAATCCAATATTGAATGGCCAGCGCATCCCGTTACACGCGCTCCATGATTGTAAAATGGAGTTTGCCAAGTCACCGGGGCCATTTTACACCAACAGGGAGCTTAAAGAAACAGCGCGAGTCACTGTACCACTAATATCGCCAATGTAAGCGAATATTGCTCAATGGGGCAAAACGCTTCAAATTCCATCTCTGCACGGGGCCTGAATGCTATTTGCGTCATGATATTAGCGTTCCCGCACTTTCCCATGAGCTGAACCAGATACAACCGGCCACATTACAACACGCGATTCTTTCAAGCGAATCGACTCGTTTAAACGGTTCGTGATTCGCTTGCATCAACAGTCCTGTACAGTCGGGTGACATCTGTAGAGGAGCGAAAACTCGAGCAATTCGGCTCTTCCAAATCATCAAAAAGAACCGATCTGCTTGTGAATCGGATATTACGCCGGTCCGGCGCAGCCAACACCCTAAAACTAACGCATTGTTTCACCATTACTTCATTCAAATCGTTCTGATTTTTCATAAAATAAACGTTCCTTTAAAAAAAAAAAAAAAATCAAGTCAGTTTGTCACTTCTTAGTTGATGACTCAAAAAAATAAGATCTTATTTAAAAACTTGTTGCGTACGAGATTAATTCAGTACCATATTTAGACAAAAATAGCTCTTTAATAGTGGAATTTAAAAACGACAACCAAAATAGAACGCAGCGTATTAGAAATCGCTTAAACTAGAACAAATTGCGGTTCTAAACGCTGCGGATTAGCTTTTTTTAACCCCCAAAAGCCCTATTGTTATTTAACAGACTACGATTAAAAATAAAAATATATGTTCAGTTCCTACCTTGGCACCAATCTGGTTGCCGCACTGTCCAGCCTGTAAATGCACAATCTCCCTCATCCTTGATTATTTGTTTGTTTATTAACACAAAATACAACTGAAACAACCCCTTCGAAACTCAAAATCCTCGACAATGAGGTCGCAATAGGAGATGTGCTCCTACTTATTCAGTCTGGGGAAATCGCCTACATTTCCATCATTCTCATTGGTTGCTGTAAGCTCTCCCCAGCACTCGCATTGGCTGTTTTGTATGCTCATTGTTATGATTGGTTCCTACAACCGCCGACAGCACTAGAAAGGCTTTATGGCCATTGGCTGGAAGGGCGGTTATAACGGCTCTCGACAGGCAAAGCGCTTATCTAAAAAAAAAAAAAAACTAACGTTTTTGTGAAATGGGAGGGGCTGCAGGGATATTTTCCAAAACGTACTTGCTTGTAAAGAACAATAAAATCAGTACTGAAGCCATTTTGACAGTTTAACCTTACAATTAGTCTCTCTCATGACCATTACAAGGTGATAATTCATTTATATGGCAGCAATAAAGAAATAAAAATCTAGTAGGTTTAAAGCTTATCTATTAAGCTAATTTTGTGTAAATGTGTTAACAAAGCTGACCATAGAGGAACACTCAAAGCTTTTTAGCGTCGTGTATCTGGGTGCCCATCATTCATCAGAAAATAAATCTTTCCAAAAAGTGTTTTAAAGCTAAATGCTATATGCCTATTCAAAGAATTGAACATATATATCTCACAACCACATTTTCATTGAAAAAATAAATTAAATATTGCATCAATAGGATAAAAGGCAGATGATGTATTAAGAGAAACGATGAGAGTAGTCTTTGCATTTCTATATGATTTTTAATGTATTTAAAAGCTGATATTGCATCAACATGTATCCTTGACAACATAACGTACCTCAAGTTGTGTTTCAGCTCACCTTCATACGTTTCTGATCCCCTATTCTCTACCCAAGGACCTTATAAAAATAATACTGGGTGCCCATCATTCATCAGAAAATAAATCTTTCCAAAAAGTGTTTTAAAGCTAAATGCTATATGCCTATTCAAAGAATTGAACATATATATCTCACAACCACATTTTCATTGAAAAAATAAATTAAATATTGCATCAATAGGATAAAAGGCAGATGATGTATTAAGAGAAACAATGAGAGTAGTCTTTGCATTTCTATATGATTTTTAATGTATTTAAAAGCTGATATTGCATCAACATGTATCCTTGACAACATAACGTACCTCAAGTTGTGTTTCAGCTCACCTTCATACGTTTCTGATCCCCTATTCTCTACCCAAGGACCTTATAAAAATAATATGAAGTGTGCCAAGGTCACTGGGTCTTAATACAAATTGTTTACCAAAATAATTGTTTTCTGTTGCAGAGAGAAATAATAAAAAGACATGCATGATTGCCATGCAAGAAGATTTACAAAGAAACAAAAACAAGAAAGGAAAAATCCATCCTTCTCTCGGCATGTTTGGTGAACACAAATGTTGTTTCATTCTGGGTCAACTCTATAATTTCTTCTTTGTCTATGCGGATTTTGTGTTAAGCAGCTGTCTTTCCTAAACAATTCCTCAGGTGAGTCTTTGTCCACGGTCATAGATCATCCACTTTGTTCAGTCCATGTTTTTCAATGTATCGTCTGCGGGTGGGGTGAATAGAAAATAAAATATCAGATTACACAACAAATAAAAATAGAGTGTAACATACCTTTATTTTACAACAAACCTTGTGGATACTGGCATACAATGGATTTCAGGCACAAAGATTTTCAAGCACAATGCCACTGTGTGCTAAACATTTCATCTAAAATGCAACATATTTTAAATATCATTTTAAGGTTTTTAAAACAATTACCTTCTTGCATATTCGTATAAGGCTTCTTTTCTCTCCTGTAGAGACATGTGTCTGTCTATGGGTGTTCTCCCAAAAGATTTGGCAGCTGGCTGTTGAATGAATACACAGACATATCTATATAAATATCTTGTCAGACAAAAGTCTAAGGCGGTACTATTTATAGGTAAATTCACTAATATAGGCCATGCGAGATATTTGTACAGGATAAGGTCAAACCCAAAAACACAGAGCCTGTTTTTCTGTGGTGCAATGAAGAATCTTGCAAATTGTATTTATAAATTTTGTGTAATAAATGGATTTGTTAATATGGGACAAGACTGATTCATTTGCTCCTGCATTTTTCTCAGTGGGTCAGGATGTGAGGGTCAGCTGTACCTTTAAATTAGGTGTGGATGCTGTTACAGACAGGGTGGAAGAAGTTGTTTGTTTGGCTGAACCTGAAGGTGTGCCTGCAGCCGCCTCCAAGCTGAACTGGTCAGTATGCTCCAGCAGGTTGGTTATGGTTGTGTCCACACAGTTGGTCTGCACTGTACAGAGACAAAAGAAAACTTAACCAAATCTATTCTGGCTGAAACTGCATTGCTTAAACCCAAGGAATCAGTTTTGCATTAGTACGCATATGCAGGAGCCACGGAAGTGTATAATGGCAAATATGCTTTTTGAAGCAAACAAAGCAAGTCTGTTAATGCAAAGCATTATGGGAGGATGACATACACAGATCTCTGGTGATGACCGATAACGGGACGTCAGGCAGCACCTCTTTCACCTGCTGCGCCATACATGCTACTTGTGAGTCTTCAGCTCCTGCATTTGTGCCCAGGAAACCCTGTGCCACTGTGCGAGGTCTGGCACCCAAATCTGAAGACAAAAATGTAGTTTCATGTTACATTACAATACTAAATGCATCTTCTATATAGATCCAGTGATCTAACTTTATGGATGTATACATCATAATTCCATTTCTCACCATTGAATCCGTTCTTACTTGAATGTGCAGTCTGAGCGGCAGTGTGTCTTTTCCTTTTGATGTGCTCAGCTTTGTCTGCTTTAGTGATCTGTGTGGACATCACACCCAGCTCGGTGGCCAGCAGCTGACGGAGGGACACAATGGACATTACATCAAACGACACCAAAACAAGTCAAAGCTTTGAACTGGACAAGAAATAGATCTGAAGGTTATGCAGATGAAAAGCAATGTCAGCGGACCATAAGGTAATGGTTTGTTTGAACATGTTTTTAATGGGAATTCAACCAAGTATGACATTTGAAAATGGTTTCAAATCCATTTAATTTCAAGGCATTTCAGAATGTATTTATTGCTACAGAAGCACGACTCACATACTTTCAACAGGCTATAGGCAGAGGATTGGTAAATGCATTTAAATGCACTTCAAATGTTTGTTTCACTAGAACTAATGCAATAATTATTCTAAGAACGCTTTAGTCCGACTGAAATCGCAGCAGTCTGATTTTTGCGAAATAGGACTAATAGACCTACACTACCATTCAAAAAAGTTGGGGTCAGTTAGATTTCTGAAAGTCTCTTATGCTTACCATCAAGGTAAAATGCAACCGTACAACATCTGATGGATAAAATAATACACAGACTTCACAAAAAAAAGTTTTACCTCTTGTACTTTGCTGGCAAATTCTTGATGGGATTCACCATCTTCTTTAGACAATGGTGGAAGCCATCTGGTTGAGAGCATTTCAAAACAACACCTTACATTTTGTTTTAGACACACTTAACATGAGTGAGAAAGAACATGTTACCTATTCAGAAAGACAAAATGCTTCAGATTCTTCCTTTATTCGCTCAACATTTACAACACAAAACATTATCATTAAACACTAGTATCTATTTCTAAATGTCAACATCATATAAAACAAAATATTTGCAATGGTGTGAAAGCATTTACTAACCAAATATTCAAAAGTGACAGTAATAAAAGTAATGTATTTAGCAACAGGCAGGTATACACAAAAATTCAAGATTAAAACTGAAACTGTCGCTCTTATAAGCTGCATACCTAAGACTCTTGAGCCTATTAAATTCTAAAAAGCTTAATTATTGTCGTATTACCAGCGCTGGCCTGGCGAGAGCAGCAATAGAGGATTGTACATTTAAAATAAAGCCACTGGACAAAGGAGAGACTGTAATATGTAGTACCTTACATGGTACACTGTGAATGGTACAAAAAAGGTCCATAGCAGCTCTGTCAGCCATGAGGATGCTGGTGTGTTCTGAAAAAAAAAAAAAGAAAGAAAGACCTTTTATATCATCCCCATGCTAGTGTTTAACAGAACACAGTTATGTGCATGTAGATGACTTGACACTTATTATATACACATACTTTCACATTCACAATGCAACCGACTCTCTAAAGTTGACCAAGATCATTTAGGGCACTTTCACACTAGCACATTTGGTGGACACCCAGGTTCGATTGACGTCAGAGTTCGGTATGTTTGGCTAGTGTGAAAGCTGTTATGCGAACGCGGGTGCGCACCTGGGTACCGTACCCGAGACTACCTGAAGGAGGTGGTCTGAGTTCAGTTGCACTCGAACTATGGCGCGGTTCACGTGAATATGAAAGCAACACAGTCTCGGGTGCGCACTTGTTCAGGAAGTAAAGTAACCTGCGCATGCGTTTTAGCCGATTACAATGTATTTTCTTCAATACAACACATATAAGTGATGATAGTGTTGCTGATTTACCTTGGATTCGAGCAAGAGTGAGACTGCAGTGTATTCGAGTGTAGCAACTGCAATCAGAGCGGCAAATGTGATAATCCGCTGTCTCCTCAAAATAGCTGTCTACATGCGACGCACATACAGTAAACCCATAAGTCGTTTACTCTGCTGCACATAACAGCACCAAATTAATTAAAAAACACAATATATTGACCCACGTTCTGTTTTCTATCATACGTTGTGCACGTTTGTTATGACGTAAGATGACCGCAAATGCACCGGGGTTCGAGAGAATTAAGAGTGTGAAACCAGACCAACGCTGCGGAGAGTGCCGGGAACAATCGCACTCGGGTTTGAACCACAGCAAACGAGCCCAGTGTGAAAGCCACCTTACAGAGCTGCAAAAGCAGGTCATTCAGAAATTGTCCAGGTATTACCATCACAACCATAAGCACATTAACATATGAAAGCCACAATTTACATAAAACACCTATACAGTATTGAGCAACACGCTCCCACGTTCCGTCCTGAACGACAGTGTGAGCTGCACCAGCTGTTTTCACATGCAAACAGGTAAGCAAATTGTAACAGGTCATTTACATATACAAGACTTAAAGCTACAGTAACATGTTTAACCTTTAAAGACCCAAAGAGGTCAAAAAAAGTGTAAATACTGTAAGACAGGAGTCGAGCAGCTGAATTTTTAACCAGTTGTAATTCATTTAGGGTAGCTTTTGTAACCCCGGCCAGCAAAGCATTGCAGTAATCAATGTGAGAAAATACAAAGATGTTAATTAACTTCTCAGCCACCGTAAATGACAACATAGGATGTAATCTGGCAATATTTCTAAGATGAATAAATGACGTCTTGACAGTGTTCTGAACATGAGGAACAAATGTTAAATGAGCATCTAATATCACCCCCAATTTTTTTTTGGATGGGCACCGGGCTAGCTAACGCGAGACTACCTGAAGGAGGTGGTCTGAGTTCAGTTGCACTCGAACTATGGCGCGGTTCACGTGAATATGAAAGCAACACAGTCTCGGGTGCGCACTTGTTCAGGAAGTAAAGTAACCTGCGCATGCGTTTTAGCCGATTACAATGTATTTTCTTCAATACAACACATATAAGTGATGATAGTGTTGCTGATTTACCTTGGATTCGAGCAAGAGTGAGACTGCAGTGTATTCGAGTGTAGCAACTGCAATCAGAGCGGCAAATGTGATAATCCGCTGTCTCCTCAAAATAGCTGTCTACATGCGACGCACATACAGTAAACCCATAAGTCGTTTACTCTGCTGCACATAACAGCACCAAATTAATTAAAAAACACAATATATTGACCCACGTTCTGTTTTCTATCATACGTTGTGCACGTTTGTTATGACGTAAGATGACCGCAAATGCACCGGGGTTCGAGAGAATTAAGAGTGTGAAACCAGACCAACGCTGCGGAGAGTGCCGGGAACAATCGCACTCGGGTTTGAACCACAGCAAACGAGCCCAGTGTGAAAGCCACCTTACAGAGCTGCAAAAGCAGGTCATTCAGAAATTGTCCAGGTATTACCATCACAACCATAAGCACATTAACATATGAAAGCCACAATTTACATAAAACACCTATACAGTATTGAGCAACACGCTCCCACGTTCCGTCCTGAACGACAGTGTGAGCTGCACCAGCTGTTTTCACATGCAAACAGGTAAGCAAATTGTAACAGGTCATTTACATATACAAGACTTAAAGCTACAGTAACATGTTTAACCTTTAAAGACCCAAAGAGGTCAAAAAAAGTGTAAATACTGTAAGACAGGAGTCGAGCAGCTGAATTTTTAACCAGTTGTAATTCATTTAGGGTAGCTTTTGTAACCCCGGCCAGCAAAGCATTGCAGTAATCAATGTGAGAAAATACAAAGATGTTAATTAACTTCTCAGCCACCGTAAATGACAACATAGGATGTAATCTGGCAATATTTCTAAGATGAATAAATGACGTCTTGACAGTGTTCTGAACATGAGGAACAAATGTTAAATGAGCATCTAATATCACCCCCAATTTTTTTTTTTTTTTTTTTGAAATTCCAGGGTAGAACCATCTACACTTAGAGTTAAAGACCCAGCATTAAGTAACTGGAGGGATGAACCAATGAGCATTACCGCCGTCTTGTCACTGCTTAGACAAAGAAAATTTCTAGACATCCATTTTTTTTCATCTCAGAAATACATTGAGAAAGAAAGGACACAGCCACATTAACATCAGGTTTTGAATGAATATAAACCTGGGTGTCATCTGCGTAAACGTGAAAGTTGAGACTAAGTAATCTTAAAAGTTGACCAAGAGGATAAATGTAGATACTAAAAAGTAAAGGGCCCAAAATAGATCCTTGAGGAACGCCGGATTACACAACACCGATATCAGACCTGCAACCTCTCACAGCAACAAACTGCTTTCGATCTGAAAGATAGGACTTAAACCAGCTTAGATCAGTATCAGAGACACCAAAGACAGACTCTAAGCGAGTAAGTAAAATTGAGTGATCAACAGTGTCGAAAGTGGCACTGAGATCAAGAAGAATCAAAATAGAAAGACAGCCAGAATCAGAAGCGATTAACAAGTCATTAGTGACCTTAACTAATGCTGTTTCAGCACTGTGGAGTTCACGAAATCTGGATTGAAGGGGCTCAAAAAGATTGTTTTCGGTAAGATGGGAATGCAATTGAGCAGCAGCAATACGCACTAAAATTTTGGCGAGAAAGGGCAGATTGGAAATGGGACGGAAATTATTAATGTAGAATATGGCATGTTTATTACTACTGTTTTACAATACAATAAAATAAAAACCAAGCAATGACATGACAAACAAAACCAATCAAAAGACTTTAATATACAGCTAAGAAGATTTCGTATTGGGTGGGGTTACCTAGCAGGAAACTGCAAAGATAGAAACCAAGTGATCAAGACAACGTCCTGTCACTTGTTGCTTTCTGTGACTGGTTAAAACATGATATCATACAAGGGTTTTCAAACTGTGTTCGACGTATTCAAGGGGGTGAACGACTTAGAGAAAAACAGTGTAAAAAAAAAAGTAAAAATAAACAATTAAACTAAATTAATAAAAAATGTATTTAAAAAAAAAAACATTTAAAATCTAACACATAAATAATAAAATAATAATAAAAAATGTAGGGAAAAGTGCAGTCATGTAACGTAAGAGAAAATAAATATCTTCCAAATAATATTTTACACATATGTATAATATTACCTTTTCACTGTATAAATTGGGTCACATATACATTTTTAATTTTGCCTTAAGTTGCCTTGCCTCACCACTGTAGAGAAACCACCCTTAAGACCTTTTAAATTTTAAGATGATCATAACTGGGGGTACGTGGCATCTAAAATATTGAATACCCTGATGTAATACAGCAGCTGAGGGGATGGATCATATACATACACCAATGCTCACCAAAAAAAATGAATAAACCCATTTTTTCAATGCTGTAATGGGAGCACTATGAGCCAATTTGTAGACCTTTGACAGTCCGTCTTTCTATTGCACTGTGAATCACTTATTATCAGTGCTGCTATAAATATCCTCCTGATGAGCCACACACTCACAAAGACCCTCTTGTGTGCGTTAATGGGAACTTGAGGATGAAAAAAAGATATGGAATCTCTAGACATGATTATTCAGTCACATTTAAATGAATGCAGCGGATGGATGGATGGTTTCATAACGAAGCGAGAAATGACAAGTTACAGAAATGATAAGTTACAGAAATGACAAGTGCAGCACTGACAAAAAAACTACAGGTAGGATTAAATACACATTCAGAATAAGCTGTTTTTTTGTTGTTGTTGTTGTAATGTTTAAAAATGTAACCAGGTTAAAAGAGATATATACCTGGCGACCGCAAGGTTCACAACCATAATGACCATAATGACCAAGAGTGGATTACAAAAAAGGGTTTGAATGTAATTACCACAGCTATGAAAGGCCTCTTCACCAGCAATGCCACAGGCTGGATGGCGTCAGACACAGAGAAAGGCCAAGAGCTGAGGAGAGAATAGAAGTTGGTCTTTTAAAAATGGCGTCTTTCTTAAAGAAAAAAAGGAAATGTTGTCATCTAAAAGCTAATGGCAAAATGGGTGTCAGCTGATTTACAGGCAGTAAAGGCTAAACCTTAGGATCAGTAAAGCCTGATCATATCTTAAAGACCCTTCAAGGAAGCTTAGAGAGGACCTGGCAACCCTCCCAGAACAGATCCACATTTAATCACTAGAGACTCAGCATTAAAGCGGCCCATACTTACCAAACATTATTTATATCAGGCACCTGACTGTCTATGTACAGTATGGTCACATTTAAACCCAGATCAGATATGACATAAACAGCATTCAGGTTATTTTTTCACTATAATTGAATGACTGTTGGTTAAATTAATGACTTCTTTTATATCGTTTAGTGATATTACTGTTACAAACAGCAATAGAAGCATTTAAAAAAAAAAGGACAGTTCATATAGTTTATTATACATTATACACACACACACACACACACACATATCTATATGCATGTATGTGTGTGTGCAGTGCTTGAAGTGGGCTGGTACGGACCACTTCAGCATTTTAGCCTTTAGTGTACTAGCACTTTCTCGTGCGTACCGGGACATCTGACATGCTGCTGGTACTGAGTCAAAGCGTCAGTGTCTGGGTGATTAGAAATGACACTATAAAGCACACTACCCAGAGAGAAACCGGTAAACTTCTGGAAAGTTCAAGATTCCAGTAAGGGAATGCATTAGTAATAAGTTCAAAACAGTGCTAATGCAGAGAAAACACAGACGATTTCATCAGAGATGGCGGAGAGAATAGTGAATCGCGTTCAGACGGCAGTAAATTATTATTTTCAGCGTGTATTTGGCTTAAAAGCACGAGTGGAGTGTTTTATAATGAATGCCGGCTGAAGGTGTTTTAGATTATGCGCTGGTCAGTGGTTTAGTTATTCTGAATGGATCCATATAGTAGCATGTACAGTCAGGTCAAGTGGTTGGTTTAGTGGTCTTTTGGCGTCTCCCTGTGATCCTGTTTGGTATTGCAGCTTAATTGGTGCTTATTTATATTAAAAATGCTCTTAACAACTTTCTTTCTTTATATACATATATTGGGAATTATGAAATTTGATTTATGTATGTATTTATTTATTTAGTTCCAGTACTTATTTTTTCCACTTCAAGCACTGTGTGTGTGCATAAACACACACACACACACAATAGCAAATCTCAACTGTGGGATTTATAAGTAAATCCAACTTTATATGCATACATACACTATACTCACGTATGGCGATATATAGGCTACTATATAGCAAATCTCAACTGCCTGATCGTTATGTCACCGTAAACTGTAAACTATATTATCGCCCAGCTCTTTACATAAAGTTAGATATCTCAATATAGCCAATTTTATCTGCATACATGCAGTATACTCAACATAGGGTGATATATACTATATGTGACCCTGGACCACAAAACCAGTCTTAACCACAAATTTCCTACTGTAAATATATTAAAACTTGATTTTTGATTAGTAATTAGTAACATTGCTAAGAACTTCATTTGGACAACTTTAAAGGTGATTTTCTCAATATTTAGATTTTTTTGCACCCTCAGATTCCAGATTTACAAATAGTTGTATCTCGACCAAATATTGTCCTATCCTAACAAACCATACATCAATGGAAAGATTATTTATTCAGCTTTCAGATAATGTATAAATCTCAATTTTCGAAAAATTGACCCTTATGACTGGTTTTGTGGTCCAGGGTCACATATAGCAATTAGCTACTTGGTTGCTTGTAATTTGATATTTAGATATAAGCATTAACATTATGATTTTCTTTAAAGCTGCTTTAATTAAAAGCTGAAAAAATCACTTAAATACCTGAACTTGAGGAGACCGGTTCGGCCATTGGTGGTGTCCTCCTCTGGAAAGAGTAGTAGGGGTAAAGCGGCAGGAGATGAGCAATACCTGCGGAGGGTCTCCATCAGCTCCGTCCTGCTCTGTACACCCTGACCCAGCTCCATAAAACCCCTCGCCCAGCACAAGAACCCCACAGGGCTCTCCAGCAGTGGCTAAACACACAGAGGCAGACAGGAAAACATGGTTACATGTAGCTGATTAGCTATATAGCATTATGTTAGTTAGGGTTGGGCCGATAGACGATGCCATCGTCGATGGCTGACAGACATCACCGATGTTGAGCCGGCATCGATTGCGCGCTCTCATTTTACTTTCACTTTCGAGATTCGCGATCACAAGAACTCTCATTTGACAAGATTAGATGTTTGTCATTGGTGCTCAGGATCTGCAAATCATTCGCCATCGTCCTATCAGACATTTCTTCTTACTAGGATCTGCAATTCGCCATCGTCCTATCAGACATTTCTTCTTACTCTGTGTATGTGGTAAGTGAACTTTCATGTACTGTAATGCAACAGGCTACCGCTAGCAAGCGGCTAACCTTTTAGTGGCTCCATATAACGCGTTATTTATTTTACGCGTCTAAAGTCAGACCATTCTGTTTTTGCTTGAAATTATACAATCTAATTCAAATCAAAACAACTGTTCATGCTACACGTGTGTGTAGCACTACTGTCTGTTCAAAATAAATGAAAAAATTAATTTCCTGCCGTACCGAACTCGTATCGAACCGTGACTTCTGTGTACCGTTACACCCCTATACATTACATATAATATATTACATCTATTATATAAATGTATAATACATTTCAATATATAATATAATTTAATTACTTATTACACTAACTGTGAATCTTCAATTTTATGTTTATTGTTATATGCAGTTACAATAAATTATTTATAATCTAAATAAAATATACATTTAAACTTTATAATAAATACATTTACTTTCTAACTAAAACCTTGGTCAACTCATGCAGACATGAATTCAAGTCGAGCAGCATGACCTAATGTTTAAAAATGAATTTAAGTTACTCCTGTTGCTCTGCAACCAAACAAAGCGAATCATTTGAAGTAAGCAAATGGAGAGAACTGAACCTCATTCACTGGCCTCTACCCAACATTACGTCAGCACAGCTGCCAAAGGAGAAATAGACCTCATTGTGTGAGTAAACCAATAAAAAAACTGAAAGACACAGAGGTCAAGGGCAGAGCAGAGGAGGAGACAGAGATTACATCATGCTGGGAAAACACTAAGACAAACATATACACTCACCGTGTTACAGGAGGTCAGAAGGTTGATAATATTGTGGTCGAAATGTGTAACGTGATTGCAGATGTAAAGTCGGGAGGTTTTGTCCTGCAAGTGTGGGCTATTCTGCCGGACATGCAGACCCAGCACTGAACACATTATTCTCACTATGAACCTATAACAACAAAGACAAATGTGTCACCAGCAATACTGAAAACACATACAAACACAAAAACAAAATCTGCCAAACCAAAAGTGACAAATAACAGAAATATGATACAATTTTCAAAATCTGACATTAAAATTATATACATGTATTAAAAAAGTTTGTATTTTAGGTGCCAAGTTATTCACCATTTTTAAACCCTTTTAGCTTGTTTGAAGTTCAATTAAACATACAGTCGGTTCTTTATAAATCTGTATGTGAAATAATTACATATAAATGCTGTAAAAAAAAAAGCTTGAGAATGTCACTGCAGCAGTGTTATTATTGTTAACTAATACAATTAAAAATAATTTTGGTCATTTGAAAAAAAAAAAAAAGCTAAAATAATAAATAAACAGTAGATGAAAAAAAAACTTGCATGAAAATTAGAAATGTTGCCTTGGCGACAAACTGAAATAAGGTTAAGTACTAAAATGACTAAAACAGAGAAAAAACTAAATACTTAAAGCTAAACAGAAATATTTAAAACACCCAAAACTAATTTTAAAAAAAGAAAAAAAAAAGCATAATAAAAAATCCATGTCTTTTGCTGTTATAGCTGTATCTCTTAACGCTCCAGTGTGGCATCTTACCTTCTGACAATACTGTCAGGTAGTGCACAACTCACTAGAAACACATGGACACCAATAAATATTCGCAGTAGCATCAAACACACGCCGACAGGGGAGTACAGCAACAACAACAGCAGGATGAAGCGATCATTTGGTAACCTGTGGAAAGAGATGACAGGAATAGCAACCAGCTTCAGGATCTATTTCTGATCAGAGCCGTTTGCCAGAACCAACATCTATCTCTCCGTGTCAGAGACCTGAGCAGTGCACACATTTCAACTAATGTTTACTAATTAGTGCTTTATTGCTGCTGTCAAGTCTAAGTTACTCTAGTCTAAGAGATCAGAAAGACAAACCTAAGAAACACGAGTTATGGGAAACCTATTGGTTTTTGTGGGGAAATCAGCGAATATACGTTACGCTAATGCATTCTGATTTTTTTAGATCAGTTTTTTAATGCAACAGGCCTTACTGTCGACATAAATAAGCGGAAATATTAAGACTCTGTGTTATGTAACATATTTTAATGAACTATTAACACAGCCAGACTTTTTATATACTGCAACACTCTCATAAACCATATAGTACTATTATACACTGTTTGATTAGCCTTATGGCAAATATGGTGTATTAAATTACATAAGTGCAAAAGGAATCAGAAAACATTTATGTTTACTATCCATTCTCATATGCATGTATCTGAAGATCATTCAAAGTCTCTAATAGATTTTATACGGTTGTGTTTTTGTGAGTTTGATATTGAACATGCTACGGCTAATTACATTAGCTCTGCAACTGTTATCATTTCAAGCTTGAAATGTGAGTAAGTTACCGCTGGAAGTCGAACATCTGCTCAATCCCCCGCGTTTCCATTATGTAAACTCTTTCTGGGATTTTTTCAAAGGCTGCTGCATACTATTCTTCAGACTTTAACGGCAGGTGAGAGAGGGAGATACGCTAGCTCGCCATTAGCCTGTGCTGTTATTCGCCATGTTGAGAACTTCACGAGAAAAAAAGAGATCAGACACTCCAGAGCTATTTCCGTGTTAGGTCACGTGCTTCACAGTAGCGCATCTGATTGGTCCATAGATGTTAAGGATAGTTTTTTCTGGCTTTTACGCAACAATTACGACACATAAGTCCAGCGTCCTCATGTTCCGAACTTCCGCATTTGTTAAATAGTGAAGAGTGGACGAGCTGGTAAGTAAAGCATCTATGTTCCTCTTGAGTTTTCAAAGGACAACTCACCGTTCATATTCATCTTATTCACTTGCTTTTCCAGGCGCATTTTTTTAGTTAAAGGCTGACATCTTGCGTTATGGAATATGAACTACGATACAGCCTGCCTTCATTAAACTAACACTAAAAAATAGTTGAACTTAGAACTTATTTACTTTTTTTTTTTTTTAATTTTTATTAGTATTAGGTCTCTAGTATGGAAGTTTGTTTACTTCACGGAAAAAAATTTTTTTAAAAATTAAAAGGTTCGACTTACTAGCTCACAATTCTGGGTTTCTCACTATTTTGACTTTTTTATTTTTCAATTTCCCCCTGTAAGGGAAAAACACCTTTGCATTGTGTACAAAATTCAATAGGCTATTATTTTGTAAGAAATTAATTTTGTGCAGGAAACACTTGCGGTTTTCAAACACTAGAGGGTACCACATTCCTTCTTAATTCCCAATCGTCATCTTTCCAATTCTCAAACTCTCAAAACAGAATTTAGGTTGTCATGTTCTGTCAATTGCTCAATTACTTTGTTAGACCTCCATAATTTTTTTTTATTAGTATTAGGTCTCTAGTATGGAAGTTTGTTTACTTCACGGAAAAATTTTTTTTTAAAAATTAAAAGGTTCGACTTACTAGCTCACAATTCTGGGTTTCTCACTATTTTGACTTTTTTATTTTTCAATTTCCCCCTGTAAGGGAAAAACACCTTTGCATTGTGTACAAAATTCAATAGGCTATTATTTTGTAAGAAATTAATTTTGTGCAGGAAACACTTGCGGTTTTCAAACACTAGAGGGTACCACATTCCTTCTTAATTCCCAATCGTCATCTTTCCAATTCTCAAACTCTCAAAACAGAATTTAGGTTGTCATGTTCTGTCAATTGCTCAATTACTTTGTTAGACCTCCATATAATTTAACAAATTAAAACCATTAAATTAATTAATAAAACAATAAAATGCTTTATTTTTCCAACTTTTTCTCCTTCTAGGTAATAAGTCAGAGTCAGGGTTATCTCTCTCATGAACAGTTTGACAGTATATTGACAAAGCAAATAACGCAATTTGTCATATATTGATCCAAGTATACTGCAATGGTAATATACTACGCAATCCAAAAAACTGAAACATCTGATCTATACGGCTGCCATCTATAATAAAACTCACTATACGAATATAGTCAATTTTTCTCCTCACAAACACGCACGCACACGCACACACACACACACAGTCAGATAACAGTGGTGCCCCTTGAATGCAGTGCATTCGCCCCCAGCTGCAGTTCCCAAATACGTCTCTTCAGTAAGAGATTGAATCTGCCCCATTCATTAGCCTAAGTGGATGAGCTTCCCTAATAGATGCTCCCCTTCCCCTCAATAATTGCTGTTGATTGGCGTAAATTAGGCCCTAGTTGCCAGACGAGTGATTCTCGACGACGATAATCTGATTCCCAGCTGAAACTAATAGGATTTTAACTCCGGTTTGGCCTAATGTCCGTCTGTAAGGCCTGGCCCGGCTCTGTTAGGCCAGACCTGCCCTTCAGCCCTGCGGCCTCATGCAACTCACGCTTACTGCAGGGCTGCAGATGAGAGCGGACCAATAAATGAATTTATAGCCTCAGGTGAACACGCATGCACACGCGCTGTCGGACCAGACCTATTAACAGATGGTGTGGTTAACAATGTGTTAAGAGGACTTGACTTTAAGGCCTAAAACCGCACAGGAAAAAAAGCTGAGGTTTGAAGATGTTCACCGTAAGGAAAAACAAAGACGCTTGTGTTTTGTTAATAAACTAGTTTTTAGAAAGTTAGAAAAAAATCAGAAAATGTAGTTAGAAAATTTAGAAACAATTAAGGCCTTGGTTGTTGCTTTAATTCAGAGGTTTTCCAACTGAGGTCTGTGGAAAAGTTAACAGGAACCTGTATATATCTATATATTTATATCTATATATTTTAAAATAATGAATAAAAAAACACACAGTAAAACAGCTAAAGTATTAAATTAGATATATAAAATGTTAAACTATATAAATAAATAAACAATAAAAATTGATAAGCTATAAGCGCAAAGCCTCTCTCTAGTGCCTGGATAAATTCACAAATCAAATTTATTTAAAGGGGGGGGGGAATAATAATAAATAATCAATAAATCAATCCTTTATAAAATACATCTAACAGTAGAGTACTGTATTGTGTAGAAAAAAAGGAATAATATTGTAACCTAAATATTTTCCAAATTTTTCACACGTATAATATACATTTTTTACACAATAATTTAATATATGGATCATATCTGGTAGTTCATGGCATATAAAATATTGAAAACCCCTTGCTTTAATTAACAGAATAAAAGGCAAATCATGCTAAGTGTGCACACAAATTTTGTTGTAGCAAGTAAAAGTAAATGAATTATTATTAAAAGGATAGTAAATATATGTGAGTAAGATGTTGCTATTTTGTTGTTGTTCTGAGTGTGTTGCTATCGCTAGGCAGGTGGTTACTTCCTGGCTCAAATCTCTATGATTTTCACGTCCATCCTTCATTTTTTTAAGATGAGAAAAGTCACTTCAAAAACTTCACTCTTTTGAACAAGCTGCATGATTTAAAGGTATTATTCATGTCTGTACAAATGATACACAAATGCTAAAACATCAAACACAGGCTTTGTTCAGATCCCTAAGTATGAATAATCTTGAGCTATTTTAGTGTGCTAACATTTATATTCCCTTTAGTACACTTTAGAAACTTCCATGTTAGTCATGTCCTACCACTATGATGTTCCGATCAGTATATTGACACATTTTGCTTGAACCCCTCACAAATTGAAGCTTTTTGAGACACATGTCCCTAATGAAGATCACCCTTATTTGATATTATTTGTCATCAGGCTGATAAGAGCGAGCAGCACGCCTCGAGTCTAATGAAACTCCACTCCATTAGCGCTGAATCGGACAGATTGGCCTCCCAGAGAAATGAATTGAGTTTTCTGTATTTGTGAGATCATTCTCTCTGCATTAACTGATCTTTATCCCATCTCTTCATCACAGCCAAATCAGGTTAGGCGGCCATGATTAGCTGGGGTGGTCTCCCTTTTTAAGCAGTAATTGGGTTTAGCGGCTTAGCTGATAGCGCCATTAGGACCAATAACGGCCTTGCTTGGCTCGGGGAGTGAAACAGATTCTCCTGGAACAGATGGCAGATGCTGGTAAAGGGGTTTGATTTAGAGGGGGCGAAAGCAAAGTTTGTGTAACCGTAGAAGTTCTGGTGTTGTGCTGCGTCTGTACGTCCTCTGTGTTCGCCGGGTGTCTGTTTTGCCTTCAGTGGCTTGTGTCCATTTCAGGAATATATATATCATATGTATATACAGTATATATGTGTGTGTGTGTGTACTTTTCTTACTAGTTTATTACATCTGACTAACAATTCACCATGATGTAATTTCCACTACCATTAAGATATTGTGTTTAATAGCATTATGTGGTTGAACAAAATTACAGACTCACTTGTCTGGCCTAGGCTAACCATTATTTCATTTATTCTGTTAACGTTTTACAGATTAATTGGTAAATAATGGCCAATAAAAATATTCTGTTTACAAGCGATATTTACCTTGATTTCTATCTATTTTCTCCACACATCATATTCACTTTAATCTTAAAATCTTTACTGAAACTGGTAAACCTTGGTAACAAAAAAAAAAAAACTTCAATAGACCTAATTTTGTATTTTTAAAAAATCTTTAGAAACTGTGACCAACTTTAAGGCTTTCATTAGACATCCTCTTTATTTCGAGGCCTTAATATGAGGCTATGTTTTCCTGACTAAAATCAGGAAGCTCATCCATTTATGAGCTTATTTATGAGTATGGTGGCCACATTAGGTCCTTTTAGAAATTTAAGTCTCTTAAAACAAACTTTCCTCAATGCACCAAAGCCATGAAATGCATTTCTAAGCATCTGAGATGTGTCATTTTCATTGTCATAGAGGAGTGGGAAATCCAAAAACGTCTTTGAATATCAAATTGTGTATACTGAGAGGTATTCATGATCAAAATGTGTACACACACATGTATGTCAGTTGTGGTTGATGTGATAAATGGCTGTAAAAACTGAGTAATGTTGGGTCGTATAGCCTTTCTTTACAGAGTCCAGTTGGGATGCAGCAAAGAGCTTCTCATTAATGTAGGAACAGTGCCGCCTTTTCCCGCTCAAATCCGTCTCTGGAGAAAGACTTGTGAGAGAGCACTTCAGATGAATGAGAGCACACAAAACCACTTCAATTATTCAAGTCCAGCTTGGCACAGGGTGTGACTTTTGGGAAACACAGCACACGCTGCCCAGATCTGCGTACCTGTTGAGCATTAAAACTATTAAAATGATGGAATGATGCTGCTTAAATGGTCCGTCTCAGCAATTCATGCCGACTGGAAGAGACCAAATCAACCACTCTGACCAATATTACTTGCTCTGATTGACCATTTCGATGTCCTAGCGTGCCAAGTCCTCAAGTCGTGGCTAACGCTGTGAGGCTAATGTCTGTCGAAGGAAAATAAAGGCACTTTAAAACAATTTAAAAAGAAATCAAGGGGTGCACTTTGCAGGAAAAGCATCCTGTGGTGAGTCTATGGCAGTTGGATCGTGTTAATAACACTGAAGTTAAGTACCTGCCTGGTGAGATAAAAGACTTGACAGGTTATAAGGTGTTTCATAATAAGGGACATAATGGATAATGAAAGTGCCATAAATGTGGATTGGTGTATTTTGCAAAGATGGGCTGGAGAAAATGATTGCACTGATGCATTTGACTTGTTTTGTTTAATATTCTTGTTTCCTCCTCTAACAGGCTACACGATGCAAGTAAATTAAGATACAATTCAAAAATGTCAGCAGAAATGTTTTCCAAAATCCATTACGCTAAACTCAATACCTTCAACACAGCATGCCTACACAGCCCGACAAAACATCGTACTGTGATTTCACAGCAGGTGAGGTGCTGAGATTTATATTGCTTTCTCAAGGAAATGCATCTTTATATGGGAGAACAAAACAAAAGAGTGATATGAATATATGCTTTGGCAAGAGCACCATAATGAAAACAACTACATTAGAGTACAATATACTGTAAGTATATATGGTATAAGAATATACACTGTAAAAATATCTTTTAGTGTAGTAAATGAAGTAGTGTCACCTTTATTTATAGCACTTTATATTGTATTATATTTAAATAAAAATAAAATAAAAAATAGCCGAATCAACTATGGAGACAGTTCAGATTCTACTATAAAGCAGCATAAATATTTGTTTAAATAAAACAAATATTATTGGAATATGTTTCACAACAAAATGTTTAAGTTTTTCTAGTTCAAAAAAAAAAA